GCGCCCGGGGAGGGCCGGACACCCGCGGAGCCCCGTCTGGCTCGCCCGGGGCGGCAGCGGAGACCAGAGGCACCGGGAACTCTCCCGTGCCGTCCCGCAGGTCTCCCCGGCCGCGGCGCTGGAGCTCCCAAAGATGTTTGCAGCGGAGCCGTCTCGGAGCCGCCGAGATGGACGCAGCCCGGGGGCTCGGTATGCCTCCCCCCTCGCCCAGCGATGCCCACCGTGTCCTCCCCCTGCCCTCCCCGTGCGTGTCGTTCGACGGGCCCTCCGCCACGAGCAGAGGACCAGGTTTTGTAGCCTGCCATTGCAGAAGCAGCAGGTAATGACCGTTCACGCTGCTAAACCCGGTTTTACGCTGCACATTTGCACTGCGCGAGCTGAACGCGCGCCCTTGGGGTTTGCTGTTGCAAAGGAACCGGAGAAATTCTTTCCACTGCAGCACCGTGGGGACAGAGTGGGCAACCAGCAGGCCCCGGCTCCCAGCCCTGGCTCAGCACGGCACCCCGCTGTCCCGTGAGCCACCCCAAGGCTGGCAGGCTTTGCGGGGCCGGCGCTGGGAGAGGATGCGGCACACCCAGCCGATTGTTTGCTGGATGGCAGCAAGGTGTCGCGGGAGAGGAAGCCCAGGCCCTGCTCTTGGCTTTCGGAGATGAGTGGTTAGGGCCCTGTGGTCTCGTGGGTAGAAACAGGATAGCCAAGAACAAAGATGGGTAATGCTCTCTCTTTGCAGCAGCAGTCAGGCTGGGGAGATTTGTCTCTGCCATAGGAAAGAGTTGCATTTTCCTCCATGTTCTGCCAGGTTGTTGTCTGCAAAAATAGGGGACCCGTGTGAGTTCATGCCTCAGCGTGCAAGCCAGAGGAATCATAACCACAATACAAGCTCCTCCAAAATTAGGGTGTGCGAGAGGAGCTCCCAGCTTAGCACATCCCCTCCAAGTACGTGGCAGCTGGTTAGAAATCCACTGCATCCCCAGCAGCACCCAGGGGCTCCGGATGAGACCGGAACCCTGGTGTGGAACATGTTGCCCACGTCTGTAGCCAGAGTCTCTGGAGCATGGACAGCTAAGTAAAGCGAAGGGGCACACGGGGACCCCACAGCCGTGTTGCAAGAGGCTATGCCAGGCAGTACCAGCATTATCGAGCACCACCAGTGCCCAGCATTGCTGTAGGTGTGAGGTCAGTATTGAACTCACCCCACTAACAGCTGGTGAAACCCGCCTGTATTCCCCGGCCCTGCTCTCCCCATGCAGAGCTGGAGCAGTGCCCAGCCGGGGAATGTCGAGAGGCCCGGCTGCAGGCCGATGTGGCATGGCAGTGGAAGTTTCTGGATGTCTACCACAGCGAGCCCCATTCCTGGGACAGATCCCAGCTGTCCCACCAGCTCAGACTGAGGGGAGGGCAGAGGGTTAGTGGGAGGGACCCCTTTGCAGACTCTCACCCAAAGCCCTCAAGCTGATGGGGAAGATGGAGCAGCACAAAGAGACGGCGATGCTGGAGGGCCTGGAGCAGGGTGGCGGAAGTGAAGCACTCCAAAGAGGAGGAACAGCCGGCGACGACCGGTGGGAGGGAGATGGTGGGAGACTGCAGATTGGATGGGCTGCCCAGGGAGGAGAGACACAATGGAGGGAAGTCGCTGCATGGCCGCGCTGGAGGCAGCGCCTGCCCGTGATGCACCCCATCCCCTGTGCCCAAGGGCGAAGCGGGGTGCTGCCAGTGGGGTGAGAGGCACAGGGTGCTGGTGGAAATCCCTTCGGCATAGTCCCACTGCAGTGGCGGCACGGCCAGAGGGACCTTGGGGAGGGAGGGGTGAGGAGGGCCATGGTCAAGGGGCGGAGGGCACATTTTGTTTCTTCCTGGTTGAGCGGGGGATTTACTGCTGTTTGGGAGTCAGGGCAGGAAGGTGCGGATTGATTTTGGACAGGGACGAGATTCTCTAAGACAATGCACTGACTTAAAGCAAAGGAGGGACTGTTGGAGCAGCCAGGCTTTAACTACCAGGCCTCAGGCCCGCTCTGTGCATGGGCTGCATTCAAGTTTCCTGGCCAAGGAGGAGCCCATGAGCGGAGCTTCCTTCTGTCCAATGGTTGCTAGGGAGGCTCTATCCAAATCCCAGTGCTAGCTGGTTTTCTGTGGTCTTTCCATCATGCTCAGGATCACACGGGAGCAGCACTGTTCCCCCTGCAGCAGCACAGATGTGCTCTGGTTTCCTCTCCTTCCCGACAACTTTTTCCATTCCTCCGCCCACTGCTGCGGTCATCCTTCCCCCTCATGCCCTTCATCCTTCTCTCTTCACCACCCACTCGCTGCCATCAGCAAGGAGCTTGCCTGGGTGCGGAGCGAGACACCTGCTCCCGGCGAGGCCAGCCAGGCTGCCCATGGACCTGGGCAGACCTTGCTGAGTTCTGCTCCCATCTACTTCAACTCAGGCACAGCCACCTCCCGCTGCCTTGGGGCCGGGAGCCCGGGGACCCAGCTGTGTGCTGGGGTGGTGCCCAGCTCTTGCCCCTTTGTGTTGGGTCTGGGTTGGAGTGGCAGCTCCTGCTCTGCAGCAATTCCCACCACAGCCACCCCATGCTGCATGCTGAGAGCTGCTGAGGCTGCCTGGCCACTGGGGCTCTGCAGAGCTGTCGGGGCTCAGAGATGCTGGAAGCTCCTCCTGGCAGTGGCAATGTGGGGTTGTCACACAAGCACTCTCCAATGCCAAGAAAGCTGTGGCTGGCCATGGATCAGCTAATTAAATTAAAATGTCGGTACTTGTGCTGTGGAGCCTCCAGCAAGGGTTTCTCCCACTACTTGCCGGCCGACATGAGGGCCAGGGACCTGCCTCCCTTCCTTGGATGAGGCACTGATGGCCACAGACCCTCCCCAGTCCTGCAGCCTGTCCCGTGCATGACAAGATGACTACACCTGACTAAGCGGGGTGGGGGGGACTCACATACTTCAGCTGTTCCTTTTCTCCTCCCTGCAACCGTGAGACCCGGCAGAGCGCTGCTATGAGGGATTCACATGACCCATCCAGAGAAGGGGGCTGCATCTTCGTCCCCCCCAGAGCAGAGCGCTGCCGAAGGCCAGAGCTTCCCCTGGGCCCTGCCAGAGCTCTTCCCGGCTGCACCGAGCCACCTTACCCTGCCTGGGCAATAAAATCCACAGACCCTTTCCCGGGAACGACCCTTCGCCGTGCCCGGGGCTGCTGCGGGCGGCTGGTGCCGGGGCCAGGGGGGTCCCGGCCGCCGGCGGGGTGCTGCCTGGGAACCCCAGGTCCCCCGGGCTGCCAGGAGGGACACCGCTCCCGGCGCCTGTCCCCAAGCGAGATACGCCACCGCCATCTATCGGCCAGCACCCGGGGACCGGGAGCGACAGGTACCGGGACCCCTCAGTCCCCGTCACCGCACACGGCGGGGGCTCTGCGTCTGGTGGCGGCTCGGTTTGGGGGTGCCCGAGTGCCCCTGCGGGGCTTGGAGGGCTGCAGAGCAGCCGGGCGGGGTTGCCTCCCCCGCTGGCATCGCGTCCCCGGCGCAGAGGACGGCAGTGGGAGACGCTGAGCCGGTTGCGCTGGCCGTGGGCAGGCTGCTGTCTCCCCACGGCTGAGCTCTGCGGGAGCTGGGGTCCCCCGGCACACGCAGCAGCTTTGCTGCAGCAGGCAGCATCGCTGGGGCTTGTATACGCAGTGAAGGGAAAGCGCCCACACGTGTCCCCACTGCGGTGGGAGAGCTGGGGCTCCCCTCCTGGCCTCTTGCCACTGTGCAGGTCCCCTTCTAGTGAGGAAGGTTTTGCACTCTGTGTTTTTTTAACTGAGCACAGGCACCCAGCATGTCTTTGTGGGAGACCCCACAGGTTTTTAGCTCTGATTATCTTCTCCATCCCAAAGTGGTGCAATTCACCCAATGCCGGAAGCTGCCCAACCCCCCAAAACTTCTGGTACTGCCCGCAGCCTCTAGCTACTGTGTTCACCCCCTGCAAGTTATTTCCCAAGGACATTAATGATGGTTGTGGTGTCCAGCATCTAGTGCCTGATACAGCTGCGTCCTCACCAGAGGGAGCTCTCCCCCCGCCACGATGGAGGCATGGCCCAATTTTGGCCCAATTCCCTACTCCCTCCTGGTTTTATAGCCCTTGGCAATGCTCCGGGCCACATACTGCTCAGGTCTAATGGGCACCCAAAGGTGCTGGGAACAGAGGAGAAAGCTGCTTGGATTTGCATTTCTCCTGGCACCCACCTAGCCATGCCAGGCATGGTCTGTGCGCTGCCAGGAGGCTCTTATGTCAGTCCCCATGCCATAGGTGTCCTGGGGGGGATTGCAGGGTTTCTCCGGGGCTAGCACTGCCGCCAGCGCAATACCTGCAGGCGTGCTGGGCTGGGGAGATTAGGGCTGGCGTCGTCCCCCCCTGGGTCTCCTGGAACAGCCCTTGCTTCAGCTGCTTTTGAGACTGATCCCAGAGCAGACTCTAGTGTCACAGCACACTTGAGCTGTCCCCATCCATGTGCCCTTGAGGGACTGACCACTGCTGCCACTCCCTTCCAGCCCATGAGCAACTCTTCTCCCACCTCTGTCACCTCCCCAGTGCAACACGCCGTCTGCCCACACCCCAGCTCCAGCCAGGCAGCATCTTCCCAAGGCCACTTTGCAGCCCCTTGTTGGGGGACTTTGACACATGACCCTGCACTAAGTTCGGGTATTACCAATATCTTCCCATCAAACCAGGCACACTGAGAGCAGTCCAAGCCCAGTCCTGGGCACTGCTTCCTCTGGTGGCTCTTTACAGCCAAGAAAGCAGGTTTTTCAGCCTCAGCATTACTTTTCAGGCTATATTCCCTGCCTTCCTGCACCACGATGCTTGGCTGGAGCCAGGCAGGCTGGGACCAGCCCGGCCAGGAGCTGTCTCTCAGCAGTTTAACCCAGGCAGAAAAATGGGTCAGAAGAGGGTTTCCCAGGGCCCACCAGAGGCAATGTCTGCTCTGTGTCCAGGCAGCCCCGGCGCCCGCGTTTACCACCACTGTGAGGCCGTGGGGTCATGAGAACGTATACGACTTTATTGGGGTCTGACAGAACCCTGAGGAATCCCAGAGCCAGGGTGGGTTGGGGCTGGAGGGAGGCTGGGAGCCCACCTCTGTGCTCCCTGGGGGCTCCAGCCACCTCCTCTCACTGAGCAGGGCTGTCAGGCACCCACCACAGAGGGTCTGGGGGGCAGGAAAGCTCAGGGTAGACCAGGGCGCCGGCAGAGGAGGGGCAGAGATATGGTTAGGCAGGGCAGTGCCCTTGCCCCCCCTGCCTGCCCCTGAGCTGGTCTTGCAAAGGGCCTTGTGGGCTGGGACCCAGCAGCCTGTCTGGGGTCCCTGAGGCAGGAGCACCTCAGGAGCCCACCACCCCCAGCTGAAGGTACAGGGCAGACACGCTGGAGGGGTCTCCCCTTCTTGCTCTGGGACAGATGATTCCCCCCCCAGCTCCCCTCATCCCAGCTCTGCCCTTAACCTGTGGGAGTGCAGGCATCTCCAATTACCCCAGGAAGGCGGCCAGGGGCTCCTGAGCTGCTCCTGGCATGGCAAACTCGAGTTGCCTGAAATAGCTTGGGATTGTGCCGCGGCAAAGCTGCGTCAGCCCTGGATCTGTCACCTGGAATGGGGCAAGGCCAGCAGTGCTGCCCCGCTCTGCCTGCTTGGGGGCTGCGGGGCTCCCCCCATCTGGGACCCCCCCAGCACCAGCGGCAAGACAGGGCTCAAGGGGCTGTCGGACACAGGAAGGCAAGGCAGCAAATCCCTGCTGGATGTGGCTGGGGATCCTGCAGGGAGGCAAAAGGAAAAGGGGTTGTCTACAAAACTGCCAGGCTGAGAGTGGCTTCCTTGCTGGAAAGCCAAAAATAGTCTCTTTACTCAGAAGAGGCTGTAGGAGGGATCTCAGGCAAAGTGCAGCCAAATACCTAGGAGACTGTAGGACAGACCCAGAGTAGCGTGGCTTCACAGAAGCATTATCAGCGTGGAAAGGCAGCGGCTGTAGCTGAACCAGCCAATAACTCTGTTACCTCTGGGCATCTTATCATGCCAAAGGTGCCAGAGGAATTGGGCTGGCTAGCGAGTAGACACCCCCACCCTGACAGAGCTGGGGAGCAGCTGCCCGCTGCCATGGCCAGCTCTTGGTCTGTGGCAGAGGTTCAGCTCAGGGGATGGAGACAGCAGCAGGACAGGGGATTTTTCCAGTCTTCCGTGGCCTGGCCCAAGGGATATCTGGAAACCCCCTGGGCAGTTTTGCTGTCCCTGCAGCACCAGACCCCTCACAGGCAGCACCATCCTCTGCAGGGCTGCTGCCGCCTGCGCTGGCCAACACCCAGCCGCTGCTGGGTAAGCTGGCAAAGAACCGGGAGACCAGAAAGGCCATGCCCTTAACAAGGGAGCGCTCAGGCCAATTGCTTACATTAGCATCTCTGTGCCGTGCTGACTTATCATCTCTCCGTTCCTGGGGGTCTTTCTCTTTCCCCCAGCACTTCTGTGGGCAGTTATTCCTGGAAACATCCTGGAGTCACCTTCAATCGTGCCTTCGCCTGCTGACATTTATAGAGCTTCTTCTAGGGGCTGATGGATTTAGTTGTGCAAATCTCTCCTCAGCCCCAGTTTATGCCTTTCCCTCCATGGGGTTTGTGTTTGCCCCAGTTCGTGGTGAGGGCTAAAGGCAAAGCTGCAGCTCTGCTACCAACAGCTTTCGGCTTCTGGGCAGGGAGGCCCATCCTGGCAGAGGCCAGTCATACCCGTCTTCTGCAAACTCCCGTCTAATGCCCTACCCACCAAGCTAATCCTCCCCTGGTCTCTCCCAGCCATTTCTGCTTCTCAGATTTCTCCCTCTTGGGTGGAGGAGCCGCAGGGCTGCCAAATCTTGCAATACTCAGACTATTTCTTAAAGCCCCAGCTCCTGAAATGGTGGGAAAAGTGGAGGCTCCAGACCTCTGGTGGCTTTTGTTTCTTTAAGGAGTTTCTCATCCTCCTGCAAGTGCAGAAAAAGCAGGGACCAGGAGCCTGCAGCCCACGCCAGGAGCAGAGGATGGACACAGCACACAACCCAGGTGGATCTGGGCTGCAGAGCAGTGGCCGTGGCTGCTCTGTGCTCAGGGACACCGAGACCTGCTGGGACAGCCGTTGAAAATCCCACAGGCAGTCACTTGGCATCCATCATCCACTGACAAGTACCAGGGCAAGAGAGGTGCTTAAAGGAAAGGTGGAGCCAGGGCTGGGCTAGGGCTTGGGCAGGGTGTCGAGCACCCAGCCCTGCAGTTTGTGGGCCCCTGCCCTCCAGTCCCCTGGCACTGCTGGGGCCTGATGCCCCCAAGGGCTGCACATCCTCCCTGCTCACCCAGCAGCCTTTCCAGCTGCAGGAAAACCCCTCTTTCCCCTCACCACAGCCCACCCCAGCAGCCCTGTGAGCAGGCCAGGCCAGGCTGGCAGATCCTCTGGAGCAGCCCTGAGCCGAGCCAGATGCTTGCCGGCAGCACATACCATGGCTGTGAATGCATTTCCTCCAGGGAGTTATTTTGGGCATGGCACTGTGGGACGCATGCCCCTCCTGCAGGCACTATGGGAGCATCCTGCGAGAACCAGGCGTCACCCACGGGCAGCCAGCTTGATGAACCCAGAGCTCTGGTCTGGGAGGGTCAGCACAATGAGGCGATACTTCTGTGCTCAGTACGCAACCCGGTGAGGCTGGCTCGCAGGTCCAGAGCTGGGTGGGACTCTAAAAGAAGTTTCTATCAAGACAGTTAACAAAATGGTCAAAAAATAAGCTATTCTGTTAATTATCAGTAGATTGGAAAAAATAATAGCGCTTTGAGCAAGTGTGTTGGTAGTGCTTTAAGGTGCTCATCAAGTATCAAACTAGTTTACTTGCTCAAAATCAGGGGGCAAAAGCCCTGCTGAGTCCTGAATCTCCTATGCGAGGTGCACAAAGCCCTCCAGCCTCACCCAGTGCTGAGATTCCTGTGCCATCCCCGACAAATGCAACCCAGGACTCTCCTGCCATCACCTCCATTCGGCATCCTGAGGACCCCGTCAGACTGAGGGTGCGGGACTGCCTGGCTGAGGAGTATGAACCTCAGCTGCTCCAGCGGGGTCACAGCCCATGCTAGTGGCAGGCGATGAGCTGGGCCACGAGCCAAAGGGGATGGGGACCACCCTCCTCCCTGGATGTTGCCAGGGTGGCCAGGCCAGGCAGGCCCCCTCCTCCCACCACCACCCCCGGACCCCATTTGCCTTCTCCCTCTGGCACCCATCAAAAGAGCTCAGCACTGGGCACAGTCAGAAAGGTATGGTGCCAAGAGCTGGGCCATGCGGGAGTAAGAAGGGGACAGGAGGATAGAGCAGAACTGTTTTTATTGGAGGTGTCAAGAGCAGGAACAACAACAAACCTACAGGCTCCCCTCCTCAAGTGCCATCCTCCCCCTCCCACCACCAGCGGGGCAGTCAGCATCGCGTGTGCGTGCTACAAGACAACGGCAAGGCTTACACTTTGCTTCAGCCAAAAGCCATACAAAGTCCCCAGCATCCCGGGCAGTGCTGCCACTGCCCCCTCCTTGGCGACTGTGAGCTCAGCTTGGCCCTGCCAGAGGCAGGGCAGGACATTCACTTTCCCCTCCAAGGAGGGGCGAGCTTTGCGTGAGAGGAGGTTTTGGTTAAGGGAAGGACAGGAGCACAGCTCCACCGAAGTGCCAGGGGATGTGACCTGGGCTGGAACTCCCAGTGGGACATCTCAGAGGACCCTGGGAGAGAGCAAGCCGTGCAGCCTGAGCAGAGCTGCAGCAGCCACAGGCAAAAAACGGCAGTGCTAAACCCCGAAGGGCTTCGCCGCCTCCTCTCTTCAACAAACCGAACCGAAAGGGAGAGGGGTCAGAAGACAAACCAGGAGGGGAGATGAAGCAGGTCTGGAACAGCGTTTGGCTCTGGCTCACTTCCCAGCCCGCCGCTCCTCCTGGCGCTTGGTGAGGATGTATTTGAAGAACTCGTACACAGACCAGGCGATTGCCGTTGAGGGCATCTGATAAATGACTCTTGCCTGGACCCCTCTGAAGTAGGCGGTCACGCCACCCACTTGGTACACCGTCCTGAAGGCATTGGCCATGCCTGTGATGTGTCCGCTGATGTTGGAGCTCAAGGCCAGGGACTCCTGGGTGTTGAGCAGCGTTTTGCAAACGTCCAAAGGCGTAGTGGCAGCGGCAGCAACAGCCCCTGCACAGGCTCCGGAGACCACATGGGAGCCTGGGTTGTACTGTCTGTGGGGGTTGAGCTGCTCTTGCAAGAACTCGTAGGTCATGAAGTGAATGGCTTGGAAGGGGATGTTCATGGTGAGCTGGGTGGTGTAGCTGCGGTAGAAAGCTCCGGCCCCTTCGTTGCGCCACACAGCCCGCACACAGTCCGTCACACGCTGGTAAGGCGAGTTGTACATCTGCATCCTCTGTTTGACCACTTGGGACAGCAGCAGCAGCAGCAGCAGCCAGGACCCAGGCGCAGAGGGGAAGAGGAGAGAGAAAGGGTAAGCACGAAGTCAGGCTTCCTCCAAGTGCCCGGAATTTGGTCACGCTGGCTTAAGAGCTCATGACGGACAACTCGGACCAGCAGTGCCCTGCATGTCCCCAGGCAGGACTGCAGTCATTTAGATCAGCTGAGGCATCACCATCACACAGACATCACCACCAACAAACTGCGCAGCTGCCACAGCCCTGGGAAACATCCCAATACCCGGGTGCTTATACTTCAGATCAACCCTTGCTCCCGAGTGACCAACGTCTCCCCATCCACTGCCGCAGAGCTACCTCGGCATCCATTCCCTTATTTTCCAACAGCTCTCGATCTGGACGAGCCTGTCCCTCCCCAGCCGCCCCTGCTGCAGCCCAGAATAACCACAGCACATCACAGAGCCCACCAGCCAGGGATCATTAGCAGCCACTGCTGAAAGGCAGCCACTCTGGGGCAAGAACCAAAGGCCAAACCTCCCCCAATGCATCCAAGAGCAGGGCAGGGGAGCCCAGATCACAGCCTGCTGCTGTCCTGCCTCCCCTTATTTCAATATGACCACAAGGAGCTAAAAATGATGCAACTACCAACTACTACAGTTGTGATAAGAAGACGAGCTCCAGGGAAGGAATGACAATGGTCTGGCCACACAGCTGCCAGCTCCTCAGGATCCCAGCTGGGCAGTGGGCAGGCGAGAGCCTTGCTGGGCCCAGATCAGCTGGAGCCTGCACAGTCACGAACCGTCCGGTTTTAAGAGGAAAATAATACACTCACGATTGGTCTTTCCTTGTTACTCCTCCTTCTCCCACCACTTTCACAGACTTTTAATTACAAACTCCCTCTGCCTTTTTCACACATACCGGGCTCAACAAAATCAGTATCTTCCAGACATTTCACAACACAAGATCGCCCTTCTCCTGACTTCTCTAGCATGCCTTTTGCACCCCATTCTTTTTTCTTCCTGAACACAGGCCCAGAACCATAACACACCTTCCTGAGATCCCACCACAGCAATGCCCAATTTCCACACACTTGGAATGACTTCAACAGTACGGATCGCACCTCTCTTGCCTTCTCTCCTGCTCCAGGTAACTGTCACCAGCCAAACCCCTGGGCGAAAGACCGGTACCCTCCTGGCTCCTCCTCAGCTGGGGTTTGCTGCGCTCCCCAGAATTCATCTCTTCTACCTACCCCCTCTGTAACGGGCCGCCACCGGGCTCCCTAACCAGAGCCACAGCCACTGGCCCCCAAAATGATCCTTGCAGTCAGGCGAGCAATGAGGCGAGTACCCTCTGTGCCGCAGAGGGGACCTGAATGGCGCAGGCAGCCCCCGATCCTCCCCTCCCTGGCGGGCCAGGACCATCGTTACCTTCAGCAGGGTTCATGGCTGCATCGTGGAGCAACGTTGCTACACACCCGGCTGCACCTGCAAAACAAGAACTGCCACATGTGAGGGGGGGAGGCGAGGGACCCTGGGGCTCCACTGCAGCCCCGAGTCCCCTGCCGAGGCACAGGAGGAGGCCCCTGGAAGAGGGCGAGATCCGAAGGCAGCCTCCATCTCCCCTCCAAAAAGCGGGCTGGTCCTCAGCGGTTCCCACCCAAAGAGAGCTCAGGAAAGAGAGGGAGAGGATTGCGACAGGCTGTCGAGTCCCACGGGCTAAGCGGGACTCACTCGGGCCCAGCCCCTGAAGGCCAGGCTAATGCCACCACCTGCCAGGGGCCCAGAGGACAGCGAGCGTCCCCGTGCCCCATGGATAAGGAGAAACCCGACGGCGCTCAGCCGCGTGCCTGCCAAAGGCACGACGTGCTCCGCTCTCCCCTCGGCCCCACAATTTCCCCACCACGGTGGCTCCTCGAGTCGACTAACGGGCACCATGGCAAGACGGGCTCCGACATCACGCCGGTGCTCCTGGGGCGAGTTCCGGCACTGCCGACCTGTGGAGCCACGGCCAGTCCTGGCTCGTCTGCGGGCGGCTCCCGTCTGCCAGCATCCTTCCGAGCTGGGGCCACTAACCTGCTTCAAGCCAGATACCTGGGAGCGGCTCTGGCAGGCACAGGACCGGCGCTTCCCCCTGCCCGGCACCGTGCCGGCGCGGCACCGTACGGCTGGCCCGCGGCTGGAGAGAGCACAGGCCTTTAGGACATCTGAGGCCCCCCGGCCCCGCAGGGGCGGCTAAGGCCCTGCGGCCGAGCGGGACGGGGCCAGACCTCCCTACCGCCAAAGCTCGGCCTCTCCCCACCCTGCTCCCGCCCCGGCGTGGCGGGACGGGCGGCCCCCCGGTAGCCCCCGGCCCCCGTAGCCCCCCAGGGCGGGGGGGGGGTTGGTGGGCGTCGGGAGCAGTACCGTTGGCCACATGGCTATTGCCCCCCGCGTGGATAACGTCGCTCAGCGTCTTTTTTAACTTTTCGTAGCAGGCGAAGTAGAGGGCGTGGGCCGGGCCGGCGCCGGTGGCGGTGATGTTCATGCCCCGCATGGGCCGCCAGACGCCCTCGGTGCGGGCGATGCGCCACAGGGCCTCCAGCACGTTCCGGTACCGGGCGGCGGGCTCCGGCCGCAGGCTCTGCATCCCCGTCCGCAACA